GCTCCCTGACCCGGTCTGTACCTGCGACTCCCGTCTTGCCTTCTCCTGGAACCCTCGCCTGTCCCCGACCAGCCCTTTGCCTACTACCTGCCTTTTCGTCTCCTACCAGTTATTGCCTTCAATAAAGCTGGTTACAGACTATCCCTGGTTTCCCCGTGTTTTGCATTTTGGTCCTCAGCTCGTTTGTGACAGTACCTGAAAAAGTTCCCTTTCCAGATGAATCATGAATTGTGATGCTAAACATATAAGTAGTTATTAGAATAAGTAGATTAACCAATGACAAGCTGTGAAAAGTTGGCAAATGCCTGCTTTGAAAAGAGATAAGAAGTGTATTGTATCTGGGGAGATCTTTTTAGATGTATTTATTAATCTGCCAATTACGTTTTCAGGAGTCAATAATACTATAAAGTGTTAGCATTAAGTCAGAAAGTAAGAATGTTCTGCCTTTCCTCGTCTTAAATTACAGTTAATTCAGTAATTCTACAGTTTTGACGTCTGCTCGGAAATAACAAGACATGTAATGACATCTCCTGAAGAGAGATTATGGGTTGTTTAAGCAAAGACTGCTGTCATCGATGAAGAGGAGCTCAAAAGGACATTCTGAAAAGCTAATAGTCTATCAGGGACAAGCTACACAAATGTCAAAAAGTCAAAGTCAACTTTAATGTACATTTTTCTGTGTGTTTGTACAGACAGAGAGATCGAAATAACGTTTCCAACAATCCTGAATACTACAATCCCATGTGCCATTTAAGGGATGCTTTAATGGATGTATTAGACGTTTTACTTTCACAAATGATAATCAGCGTTGTTTATTATACACTAGATATCTTCTCTGAGCAATTACTTTAGATTAGATGTGCCTAACCCTGCTCCAAAACCTGGGTTAAAGGGGGACATATGCTCATTTATTGTTCTTGTATTTAAAGGCTTCTACTTTGTATTTTTTCCCTCTGACTCAACAGACAGTTGTTGATAAATCTCCAAAAAACACAGTGTTGTTTCAAGAAATAGCAGGAAAGACGTGCTGTATAAAGCATATCAATTGGAAAAAAGTGGCTTTGCAAATGTTTAATGGAGAAGAAAATCTATTGAACATGTTTTAGGATTTGGCGAGAGTGCTGCAATAAGGTGGAATTTTCTACAGATGACTTGGAGCAAATTGTGCAATTGTGGGAAAAAGGTGAGCAAACTGCTAAAGCAGGTTCTTGTTTGTCCAAACAAAGTCCAGCGTTGTTGACATTTGCTGAAGTATTGATCTCTTCAGATGTGAAGTAGGCAGTCCTGTAGCTACGTCACGGACAGAAATGCCAATGTCAGAAATGCCAATGTCAGGGATTTTTGATCACACACAATAATCCACCCTCTGTGTTAATGGAGTTTAAAGAGAGAACTCACCCGCCTGATGTTGTTGAAGTCCTTCCTTAAAGGGTCACATGAAATCCTGTCAAAACATCTTTAAAAAGAGAAGACAAATCTTAGCTCAGATGTGTCCTCTCCTGCTTCGACTTCCTTTTTTTCTGGAGCCCTCAGCACATGTTGCAATTTCCTTTAAGGATCTTTTGAAAGCCAGCGTGTGTCCAAATGTCTTGAGCAATAACTGGGAGGAGAGCAGTCTGGATCCTGCATATGATTCACACCACACGCAGATGTTTTACACAGAACAAGTTAACAAGTTAGAAGTAATTCATTAAACAAAAACACATGTCTCTGCGTGCTACACTGTTCTTTCCTATGAATCCCATCCAGCATTTATTAATCCCATCTTTATGAGTTCAGCTTTTCCCAATACAGAAGCTTATGTTTTTTTGTTATTGTGTCATAGGAAGCTGCTTTATTTTAACACTGTCATTTTGAGACCTCTTGTGGCTGAAAAGGGAAGCAACTTGAGATACATACCTGAAAATGAAATGATCAACCTATTCTTAACCAAAAAAAATAACACATATATGTTAGATTTGTAAAATCAATACCAATGATAGATATCGCGTTTTAACAATTGTATGTAAAGGTAAATGGACTGTACTTATAAAGTGCTTTATCAGGTATTGTGGACAACTAAAAGCGCTTTAAATACGACAAGTCATTCACCCTTTCACACCTCATTCATGCAGAGCAGTACCACTTGCTCTAGGGAAGCTGACACTCTCTCACACACACACACACACACACACACACACACACACACACACACACACACACACACACACACACACACACACACACACACACACACACACACACACCGTTGGCCATCGGAAGCAACTCAGGGTTTAGTATCTTGCCCAAGGACACATCCACATGTTGACTGCACGGGCTGGGATCGAACCAACAACCTTCTGGTTTGAAAGATGAGACACAGTCACCCCTGTAAATGATTCCTGCTTTATGTTTAAATATATGTACGGTAAACATTCAAAACTCTTATTGTGCACACTTCAAATGAGTAAACAGACAGATAACTGTATCAGAATTCATTTGTATATTATCCACAGTTATAAAAAGAGGTTTTCAAAAATGTGCAAATCAGTTCTCTCCATACAGTAAAAACATGCTAAATTGTGCAGGTTTTCAAGTTGACGGAGAGCGTAAACCTTTCTCTAATGCCTCTAAATTAAATATCAGATTGTGCAAAAGCCTTATTTAAAAACACTACAATGTCATCTTTAAATCATACTGTACATTTAAATAAGTAAGCTGCAAAAAGAGGATTCCCCCCTTTACGAAGGTTATTTTAAATGTGTGCCAACATGGCATTTATTTGATCAAACCTACATGGAAACACAGAGTGCGTTAAACACAATTACTTTATGAGGAAACAACTTTAAAGAACAATTAAAAATGTAAATCATTCAATAGAGAACCACATCCATTATTTAAGTAGCTTTTATACTTTAATAGTTTAAAATCGTAGCACCTTTTTCATATTTCCATTTTAATATTCATTATACATTTCCAATTCCAACAAATACTGGCTCACAACAAACAGAACAATGAGACATCAACCCCTTAAAGACTAAATAATGCATTTTTTACTCAAAATAGTTATAACATTAATATATTATAACACAGAGTATTTTTTTTGTACAGCTTTGTCCGATTTGGTATGTAAATAGAAACACATGTTGTTTCTAATGCTCCCCTGAGAATATGTACTTCAAAATATACACACAACCATGTTTAAATAGTTGCAACAGTCTCTGTATTTTTAAGGAGTATCTGAATGACAAAAAAACACTTTAAATTCACATTTAATTGGTTGTGTTGAATACAGCAGATATAACCATTGTAGAAGCCTCTACCAAGTATTAAAAAGTTCATATTACGCACATTTTCAGGTTCATATCAGTATGTAGTGTCTCTACTGTGACATGTCTCACAAAGGTTAAAGGTTTCCGCCTATCAAAATCTCTGAAAAAAGAAACGTGTCTCTCAGAATCGAAAGGGAAAAACCTATGGGAAAAACACAAAAGCATTGTACACAATTTAAAGGTAGGGTAGGTAATTTTGGAGAAACCAGCTTGAGTGCGCTAGAATTTGAAAATACACAAGCGGAAAAAATCTGCCACTTCCTTACAGAGCCCCTCCTCCAACACACACAAACGCGAACATGACCAATGAGGGCACGAGATAAGTTTGTGCACAGATGGAAGGCTGACAGGCAGGTAGGCCATCCAGTTATTTTAGCCGGGCCGGCTCAGATGATTGGTCGTGCTTTTTACAGTACCACGGCTTCCACAGATGATATTTTTTTATGGATTTTTTGTCAAAGCACTTAAGATATTCATTGCTATCGGGATGTTAAGAGCATTCCATGGAATATAACAAAAAGTGTATCTCGAGCAGGTTTCTCAAACTTACCTACCCCACCTTTAAACCAATTAATGTTGTGTAATTAACAAGAAGAAACTGATGTTTTTTAATGGATGAGTATGGCAGATATCACTGTTAAATCATTTGACAGTGAGGGGAATACTTCCGGTTTACTATGAAAACTTCCAGACCGGAAATACTGTTTTCACCCCGTGAGGGTTGAGGCTAACTTTACATGGACGCTGCCATCAATAGAAATGAATAGGGGGAAAGACGTATTATATTAACGTTCTCCTGACGAGACCTCAAATAATCTTCGTAATATCTATGAAACTGTGCAACATGACGTCACTCCTAGTCCCAACGCAGCGTTATATTCGCACCAACTTCCTAGCGTGATGAGCCGATACTAAAAGGTGACGTTAAAACACCGCAGACCACGGATTGGTCAGAAAGAATCATCCCTTAGCGTGGCATTAAAGGTCCCCTATTATACTGTTTTTCATCAATATATTATAGGTCTCGGATATATACAAAACATGTCTCTGAAGTGTTTGGCTCCAAATACCAAACAGATCATTGCAGCATCCCATAATCCCCTCTGTTTCAGCCCTGTTTCAAAAGTGCTGATTCTCTGTCTGTTACTTTAGATGAAAATAAGGAGCCCCTCCCCACGCCCCTCTGAGAGAGATTTGGTTACAAAGAACACAATGGTGCTCTAGGAGGAGATTCAGGTGATAACGTGGGGTGTCGGGGGGGTTACCTTGGTTGGTGATTGGCTAATGGTTACACAAGCCAACACATCGTTATGACATCATCAAGTGGCCAAAATCTGATCAGCTCATTTTCAGACAGATTTTCATATAAATGGATCAGGACAAAAAGAGAGCAAATCTTTTTTCCTGAAACTTTCAGAGTCTCTTTACACAGAGGGGACACATGTTGATGTAGAAGAGACATGAAGAAGAGGGGACACATGTTGATGTAGAAGAGACATGAAGAAGAGGGGACACATGTTGATGTAGAAGAGACATGAAGAAGAGGGGACACATGTTGATGTAGAAGAGACATGAAGAAGAGGGGACACATGTTGATGTATAAGAGACATGAAACAGTTGATTTTGCATAATAGGTCCCCTTTAAGGTATATCGTCGGTGAATCGCAGACGTTCCTTTTTGTTTGCCAATTAAAGCGTTCAGTGAATGTCCCAGTGTCAAGCTTCAACAGCTAATTACTAAGAATATTTTATCTGTAGCAGAAAAATACTGGGTACCAAAAGTTGGAGTCGAGCACTGCTAAAGAATACCTTTTGGTTCTCAACATGTATCCTCAGCTTGTTGTGACAACACAGCATTTCTTAATTGTCTCTCTGTGAGAGGATCAATACACATTTACATTGGAATCGAGATACTCTCATGACTTCATTACATGTTCAGCAGGGTCGCTTTCTCGGGGCACATCGCCCTCTTGCCCTTTACCGGCATATGGTACCTCATATCCTTCCAAAACCTGGAGGAAGGGGAGAGGGATTGCGATAGCTGTCCACCTTTCTCCTCGTCCTCTTTCGTCCTCATACATGTCCTCCATCTTCGCGACCTGCTCTGGTTCTTCCACCAACACACGGCGCCTTGCTTCTTCCTCAGGTGACGCACCGACTCTGGGAAGAGAGCCAGCTGAGCAGGGGTGATCTCTTCCAGCTCCACCAGAATCACCTGTAAGGCAGTGCAGGAATTATAAATCAGAGGGCTTTTTTGAGCATGTGGCCAACAGCTAAACATTTCTGAAATAGCGCAATAGGGCCAGTTATTGATCAAAGACAGTGTTCAAGATTTAAACTTTTTCAGTTCAGTATAAAGTCATAGCTCACAAAAAAAACATAAAATACAATTTTGTGTCAATGACTTAGTTGCACTTTTAGTTCAGTTTACCACTTTACCATCAACCTAAATGCAGTTTGGGTTAATAAATACATCATTTATGCAGCCAAACTTTGTTTTTGTTTTATTTCTTAATAATTGTTGGTATTTGTTTTAGTAACAACATTTGTTTCAGTAACTTAGTTTCAATTTTTTAAATTACATTACTGAGGAAAAAACCCATTCCTGTAATCTTAGGCCAAGGTTGCAGGCAAGTATTGGCTGCAACACCATAACAAATTGCATTAATAAAGATGTATTATTTTGCAGGGGGGTCCAAGCATAGTGTTACAGGCAGAGATGGGGTCGTTACTCAAAAAAAGTAATATATTACATATTACTTATTACTTTAAAAAAAAGTAATATATTACTTTACTTCGTTACTCTCTACATAAAGTAACGCGTTACTTTACTCATTACATTACTCGTTACTTTAGTCAGGGCCGCCCCTCCCTACAGGCAGATCACGCAGACTGCGGAGGGTGCTTCATTTTGCGGAGTGAGCGGGAGGGGGCGGCCCTGTTTACATCCTCACTCTGGGTTCGGGGGTCCTTAGCTATTAGCTTCATGTTAGCATGTTGTCTTTGCAGGTGCTTGTTGAGGTTTGACGTTGTGCTTGCAGCAGTGGATAAAAGCTTCTCTCCTGGACACAGTTTGCACCTCACTGTCACATTCCTGTCCTTTCTTCGGACAAACTCAAAATAATGGGCATACCTCCACCCCTCGAAAGTTTCGCTGTTGATTGAGCCATATTTATACACTGCATGTGGACGCGCAAGTCGCGCAAATGTTACGTAAATATAAACCTGCGGTGGAAATCCCTCTTGTCTGTCAAAGGGAGAATCCACGGCTCTGGGAGAATCTAGTCATTCTTTATGTTAGTAGGCTAAACGAAGTAACGCGTGTCGGGCAATGTTAGTAACTGTAGTGTGATTACTGAATTATAAAAGTAACGCGTTACACTACTCCGTTACCGACAAAAGTAATATTAATTATTAATTATTAATATTATTATTATTATAATAATATATTACAAGTACACCAAATCATCCTCCAATCACAGAGGTGGGAAGTATTGGAGTACAAATACTTTGTTACTGTACTTAAGTAAATTTTTCTGGTATCACTTTACTCCACTACTTATTTTTCTGACCACTTTTTACTTTTACTTTCTACATTTTGAACACAAATACCTGTACTTTCTACTTCTTACATTTTGAACACAAATACCTGTACTTTTTACTTCTTACATGTTGAACCCAAATACCTGTACTTTCTATTTCTTACATTTTCCAAACAGGCTGGTTCCTTTAGTTTGAATGTGTGTTTGGTGGCGTGATCATTATTCTTTAGAGTCATTGCGTGCCTATTGATTTGAACACGATCCATGTATCCATCATTTCCTGGTCTTCTCTAAAGAAGAGGGACCAATGAAAACGTTGTCATGTTGCCGTTGTTCAGCATGGAAACATTCATTAGCTAACAATGACATTATTGTTCTATTAATATAAAGGGAGGTCAGGTACTCTTTAAAACAGCTGGTAGTTATGGGTACTTTTTACTGAAGTACATTTCAAAGCCCATACTTCTTTACTTTTACTTGAGTAAAGAAGTTTAGTCAGTACTTCTACTTTTACCAGAGTATTTTTGAACACGAGTATCTGTACTTCTACTTGAGTAAAGGATGTGTGTACTTTTGCCATCTCTGCCCAATCACCCTGAATCTCCCTACGTATATATTAAAGGTCTGCTTCCTCACCTTGAGAGATCCCTCCAGCAGAGACCTGTGCATCGCTGCCAGACGCTCCAGCTGCTGTCTTGAGTCTGGATAGTTTTCTTCACCGCCATCGAAACTCATGTTGCTGCTGCGGTCATTTTCCTTCTTGCTTTCGCTGTTTTCGGTGCTATCCCTGCTATCACTGCTCTTTGTGATGTTGTTTTTGCTACTGATACTGCTTGTGAGTCTTTTTCTCATGAAAGTGGAGGCGGTGTAGAGCAGGAGGAGGCGGCGGCTGGCTTGAATGTTCTCTTCCACCGAGTCCACTATGGCTGCAGGGAGGAAAATACAGTGATATTAGTTTAAACAAAAGAGTTTAATAGATAATGATCCCCAACGTAGCTACTCATAACCTGACCTGTGGTAGTGCAAGACAGATCTGATAGATGATAAGCAGGATAACTAAGCAGAAACTAACTTTTTTTGATAAAAAAGCATGTGTATCGGACTAACTTTTAATCACTTAGCCTTCTTGTGATTTATCCAAATGTTACCTCTTAAAGGTAGGGTAGGTAAGTTTGAGAAACCGGCTCGAGATCGCTAGAATTTGAAAATACACAACCGGAGAAAATCTGCCACTTCCTTATAGAGCCCCTCCTCCAACACACACGAACGCGCACATGACCAATGAGGGCACGAGATAAGTTTGTGCACAGATGGAAGGCTGACAGGCAGGTAGGCCATCCAGTTATTTTAGCCGGGCCGGCTAAAATGATTGGTCGTGCTTTTTACAGTACTACGGCTTCCACAGATGACATTTTGTTATGGATTCATTGCTATCGGGATGTTAAGAGCATTCCATGGAATATAACAAAAAGTGTATCTCGAGCCGGTTTCTCAAACTTACCTACCCTACCTTTAAGATTCTCTCTTATGTTTATCAGATATCTGATATTTTAAATATTTAAAACATGTGTCAGTAAACTTTAATTAATGGTCCCAAACAAAAGGCAGTTGTCTGTATCTGTGGAATAAAAAAGGGCCCTAAACCAACACTAGGTTCAACCAACAATGCTATGATTAAGAACATGATTAATAACGATCATAAATAACATATATGACAAATGCTGGTGTAAATTGAAATGGTTGTAATATTTGTAGTAATAAGAAAAGGTCCTCTGCACCAACCTTTCATTATAACTTTGAAGAATTTGGAATTGAAAAAACAGATGCTTTTGTATCTAAGGTAAGAAATACTACAATGCTGCTTCTGCCATGAAGGGGACTCACCCATCCCGGGCATGCAGTCACGGCCTGCTATGAAGAGTTTGTAGCCGCAGGCCTTTTCTAACACTTCGGGTAGTGTGTGAAGGACAAACGCCTCCACTTCATTGCTGAATCCCTCTGTGTTGGGCTGAGAGTACGCCACATATGCGTCATACAGCTTCCCATCCGAATCTGACTCAGGAACAAAGAAGAAGAGCTCATTAAAGGTTGTTTTTGTGGCCGTTCAGTCTGCACAAGTTGCTTTATTCAAGTCAGATTCAGCCGTGCTATCTATACCTATCTATACCTGCTATATGCACATTTTATTAATAATTTGATTATTACATTTAAGGCAGATTTTGAGGTGATGATCAATGTGCTTTGAGCTTTTTGATTCTTTACAAAATGATTTAAAGTGTTTCAACAACATAATTTGATTTAAGAAAAGGTGTAAAAAAGAAGAATTGGACAGTATGACGATATCAGGTAACCTGTTTCGCTGATGGTAGATTTTTGTGTTGGTTCAAGTACCTCAAAATTGTTCTTAAGTACAGTACTTGAGTAAATGTACCTACAGTCAGTAGTGTTTGACAAAGTTTACTCTGTTTCATAAGCAGGCAGCAGATGACATTTCATCAGAAACTCTGAGCGCCTGTGGTTAGTTAGTTTCCTTTGTTCGCTCACTGTTGACAGTTGCGGTCAGGTATGGAGTAGAGCTCCAGATTCTGTGAGATGTGTGTGTACTCTGTGTGTGTTGCAATGTGTAGGCATCACTGTGGGTTTTTCCATCATGGACTTCTGTGTGTAGTGTACGAGTATTGTGAGATGAGATGTCTTTTATCTACAGTAGTGGTTCCCAACCTGTGGGCCGCCAAATAATTTGCAAAACATTATGATTTGTGTGGAAACATTTCATTATTAAGATTTTTTATTTTTATTTTAACCTCCTTTTCTTTCTCTTTCTTGATCCTCCTTAGCAACGGTCATTACAGTCCTTAACAGCGGTCTGTACTACTAGATTAACAACGTGTCACATGTTCTGAATTGACCAATCAGAACTTTATTTAGCCTCCGTATTGTTTATGGTTGAATGTGGGCCGCGAACATTTTTTAGATTCTTAGATTTTTAGAGTGGGCCCTGATTTGAAAAAGGTTGGGAACTGCTGATCTACAGTAAAGAACAGTACGTGTTCAGCAAAATCAAATATCACAATATATTTGGACCAAATACCTTGATATTAAGATTATAGGGTTAACTTGTGTTGCTTTCATACAACATTTACACAATAAGGTTATTCATTATCATTAATCTTGTGGATATATAACCTTTGTATACACACCCACATAATTGTATATCCCTATATATCCATACACATTATACTGTGTATGTACTGTGTATTCAATATTTTTGACTAAGTACCTTTTTTAAATCAATAATGCGTCAATATTGTAGAGTTGACCATTGACCAGAACATTTTTTTGTTATAAATAATCAGTAATGTAGATAAAAGTGAGTAAAGCAAATAATAGTCTGTTTCGTTTAGAAAATGAAATCACTTTCCTGTAGCGCAGCCAGGAAAACACTTATGATTATGGTATCCAAAATCTCTGCAGATATCTATTCTTATATCATGATATCAATATTGCCTAGCCCTAACAACACATACGTTCTTACACACATCTGCTGTAAATATTACCTGTATTTGTATAGAAGACTGGAAACATCCTCCGAAAGCAGAGCACAATGTCGACTTTAAAAAGGTAGTAGATGATGACGGAGACGATAAAGAGAACCGCCACATTTCCAAGAATCATTCCAATGGGAAGTCTCATGTCTGGATCTGTATGAACATCAAACATATCAGAAAAACAAATTCGATTTAGAGAGTTATAGGATCACACAGTGTTTCCCACAGATCTGAAATATACTTGGGGGGGGGGGGGCAGTGTGACGTGCCTTTGTGACGTGTAACAACATTAACATTAACCTTTCTGTTGGTCGCTTGTTAGCAGACCCTTGACGCGATGGCAGAGCGAACAGGTACAGGCAGGGCCCATAGTGATAGCCCTATAGTTTAAATTTACTACCCACAAATAAACATATGGACATGGGTTACTATTTAAAAAAAATGGTAAATGTATTTAGGAACCTATCCATGTCATTTTGGAGTTAAATGCATCAATCTGGTGCATTTTGAGGGGAACATAAAGAGACTAGATCTATGGGAACACCTATATGAAACAGAACTGTATACATTTCAATAATCATTAAATCATGGCCATAACCAATAACATACCATTTCCAATATGAAAAAACACTGAAACTTTATTTATTTTTAGTTCATTTATAGTTGTGAGTGTGTCTTTGCTCCTGAATCAGCCTCGTCTGTCTCCTTCCTCTCCCCCCTCTCCCTCCTCTCCCTCTGCTCCTCTTTGAGGCAGCAGCAAAGACTAGTTTTAGCTCTCAATAAGTTTTAAAAGTGTATCTTATCTTTTTTCACCTAGTTAACTTTTTTTTTTTTATTCATGCATATTTTACTAATCACTACCCCCTCAAATGGAAATATGTGTTTACATAAATGGTGACCAAACCGTTTGAGACCCACTGAGAACTTAGACTAAGTTAACTATCTAAACACTCAGAGAGTCCTTTACCTCACCTGAGCTGAGGTTACCCCGAGCTTGAATGACACAGAGACCAATCAAGGGCTTTGATTTATGATCTGTATGACAGTGGCCATGTCGGCAGGCCACATCATGCAGACAGCCAGTCACCCTGTGCGAGGCAGGCCACATCATGCAGACAGCCAGCCACCCTGTGCGAGGCAGGCCACTTAACAAGCCAGGCCATCAGGAAACCCCCCGGTCCTCCCGATGGCCAGTCCGGGACTGGGTACAGGAGGCGTAGAGCGAGGGATCATTGTCCACAAGTTAATCGATCGCAGATTCGTGGTCGAATAAAAATAAATAAATAATAATAATAAAAAATAAAAAAACCTAAATGGGTCGCGAAATATACTTGGGTGGCCGTTAATATACCTGGGCGGCCCGCCCAAGTAAAGTCTATGTGTGGGAAACCCTGGATCACACCTAAAGGCAGGGCACCTTTCAACACAAGGCAATTCAAAGTGCTTTACAAACATTTAAAAACATTAAGGACATTAACAGATAGTGTAGCGGAATCATATTAAAACATTTGTATTTAAAAGTGAATAAAATAAACATAAAACAAGATTACATATAAAATACATGAGTACAAGTTACAGTGCAGTGTAAGATATGAAAAGTTCAATCAAAAGCAGCGGCAAAAAGAAAGTCTTCAGCCTGGATCTAAAAGTAGTAAGAGTTGCAGCGGACCTGCATGTGTCTGGTAGTTTGTTCCAGATATTTGGAGCATAATAACTGAACTTCTCCATGTTTAGTTCTGACTCTGGGGACAGAGAGCAGACTCTTCTTCTGTGTGGTTTATAATGTAGCTCATACTCTCATTCAGTATGCTCTCTGTTGTATTATAGCCTACAACAGAGAGCATATAGGCGCCTAGGGGATTCAACCTGAGGGCTCAAAAACGTTCCGCTCAATGAGGATCCTCCTTCTGGTTCTGGCTGAGAATTTCTTCTGTGTTCTTTGCTGGGTTTCCTACAGTAAGCTGCCTTCACATGATTTTCGAGATTTGCATCTTTCTCACCACGATGTAGAGCGCAGAGCTTTGTGGTGAAAACAGCGAGTTAGTTTTCGTTCTATAGTTACCTGTCCTGCTTGCCTTTGCGCAGCGCTCGGTGGCATTTTCAAGCGTAAGTAGGAAAAACTAAAATAACTGCTGGTCATGTAAAGGCAGCAATAGTCTGACAGTAAACTAAATTTAGCAGCTTTAGTGTGTGTGTCTGCAGAGGTCCTCAAGTGTGGAATGAGATTGATAACTATAAAACATTTCTTTATTTTCGTCTGTCTTTTAAAAAGCGCGTAAGGCAACACTTGTCATAGATTGTATACGCTGAATGGCTGTGGACTTCGACAGAAGTTCACTTTTCTCCCAAATTTCGTTTGGGATTTGTTTTTGGGTTGTAATGTTTCGGGAAACTCTCTCAATTCCATTTGTTCTAATTATATATAATGAAAATATTTTTAATTGTTAGTGTCTGGGCCCCTGTTCTCAAGCTTACTATAGCTTATTGGGGGGTGTCCCATTTTACGTGTCCGCCAGGGGTGTAGTGCTATTTCTATAAGTGCAGGAGCGCACCTATGACTTGCGCATGCATGTTGGGTTAGGGTTTTGCTTCACCAAAACAGAAGCATATGGATATAGTTTACGATATAAAAAGTGTGCAAATGTTTTTAGTATCCTATCCATTTGAACATGTTTAATTGGGGGGTGGACCTAACATCCTCTAGGGGGGTCCGGGGACATGCTCCCCCGGTAACATTTTGAAGTTAAATGCATCAATCTGGTGCACTTTGAGGCCAAAATTAAGGACTAGATCTATGGATACAGATCTCAACAACACCCAACTTTAAAGATCATATAAAGGTTTGCTTTGGAAATACTTGTTTACATAAATAGTGACCTACATTTTTGAGACTGAGATAACTAAAGGTAATTATCTAAACCCTCAGAGAGTCCTGTACCTCACTGAGCTGTAGTTATCTCTCTCAGTCTGACAGGAGAGGGCTCTCCTCCACCTTGTTGTAGAAACAGCTTCTTATATCCATTAGCGCAGCTAGCTAACCAGATGCTAACAACAACAATCCCCGGTACCGGTGCGCTCGCTCTCTCTCGCTCGCTCACTCACAAAATGCGCTCGTGCCACACACAAAAAGGCGAGCTTGTATGACACACAGAGACCCAGAAGTACTTGTACTTATCCTATTCTTTTCAATGGCTTTATTGTATGATTAGTATGGCAGATGAACAGATCGCCACTGGGCTTATAACAAAAGGCACAGCCACGCAAAAAACGCGGCATGTGTACAGCTCTTGATGTGTACTGCAATTTTTAAAGTGGTGAAAATGTTGTACTGGTGTCCGCAGTACGTCTCATGATTGTACCTTTTCTTTTTATTTAACTTGTGAATAAATGATGTTGACGATATCTAAGGGTGTTACTTTTTTGCCCTGACAGCCCACAAAGAATGAAAAAAACAACAGATGTTTAAACTTTACGCGCTGGGTTTTGACCTGTTGGCAGCAGAGTAAAGTAGCTCTGAGAGTTTCCTCTGGCACTGGACGCACGACAAGTGTAGTTGATGTTGTAATCCTTCTCCTGTAGCTTAGAAATCGTCAGCACATGCTCCATCCACACACCCTCATCAGGAACAGTCTGGCTCCTAGTCCTGGGGGGCACAGAAAGATTATAACATGTTATGGTAATGTGCTTAATTAGAGATTGATATTTGAGAAAGTTATTTTTTGTCAGTAGAAGACACATTGTTAAATCAATTGGAGTAACTACATGCAATCAGAACAGTTTGTATGTAAAAAAGAACTAATATTTCCCTGGGAATATGTCCGTATAAAGTTAAGATTTTTCTTCTGGGGTTGGAAATCTTAATATAGAGTGATTTATGCAATGTTAGGGATTGGGATTCAGGATACCAGTATTGAAGTAGTTTTGACCAATATGATTCCATGATTCTTGATAGCAGATGGAAATGTATCCAACCTATGTACTTCAAAAAACGCTCCTTTATTTTGCATACTGGTTTTGTTAAAAAAAGAGAATCTCCTTCAATCATTCAATATTTTAAGTTTCAACATGGTCTTGTTTTTCAGAATGTTGCAAAAAAAAATAAGGTGCTTCCCGGAGGCGTAAATATTGTGTTTACTACTGTATGTCAATTTCCTGTAAACTCTGAACAAACTTGTAGTAAGTTAAAAACCCGAGTACCAACAAGTTTCAACATTTTTGAATCAGACCTGAGTCAGTTGTCTCATTACAACCGTGGACTTCATCATAGTTCCCACTTGTACCATACAAGCAGCCAAATAAACAAAACAAATAGAACGAAAGGTAAGGATGCTCACAGTTTTTTTGATGTGTAGACACGTTCGGAGGGGTTTGTTTCCGTAATGAAATTGCTTGGGACGGACCAATAAACATGAACTGAATGCTTCCCGACACAAGGCACAAACACCTGGCACAGTTGGCTGAAATTTGACCCTAAACACAGGCATTAAAAAAAAAAAGGTTAGACTCAAAAAACGATTTATCTGTATCCATAAATTGTTGTAAAGCTGTGCAATGCAAATGTTGATCTGAATGCAGCCTCAGTCAGTTTCAACAATTCACATTTTTGACCTTTAAAACCCCATCTTTCTCAAAATACTTAGCAAGAAAGGACCTACCTATCGGTGCCTTGATTATCTCACCGGCTGGTTGGCGCACTTGTGGTGTCAAAAAGTAATTTGCTGAAAAGACAGACAACATGACGGAGCTTTAGGTTATCTATTTACAGAAAAATACTGTACATGCAATAATACCAAAGAGTAATTAGCCTTTCTTTGTTATCAATTTAAGGCAGGGGTGTCAAACTAAATTTTGTCGCGGGCCACATTAGCATTATGGTTGCACTCAAAGGGCCGGTTGTAACTTTAAGCATATATAAAAATACATATATAAATATTTAATATATATAAAATAATGTATTATATTATACTCTACATTGGATTATTATCGGATAGGGTAATAACTTCATAATTAACTACGTCTGAAAGCAGAAGTCTAGGGCAAATAATTGCTTCAGTGCGCATGTCACAAAATGAGATGCATTGTGGGGCATGTAGTTTATGGACAAGGTGCTTCTGTAAAGCGGCATGTAACCGTATAATAAACGTATTATATTCTTTGCAAGCTCTTGCGGGCCACATAAAATGAAGTTGAAGGCCGGATTTGGCCCGCGGGCCTTGAGTTTGACACCCCTGATTTAAGGTAACAGGAATGATTTCCAGCCCTTGTCAGTCTGTTGTAAACCTCGCTAACTTGTGGTTGCCACAGTAGGATTCATTATTGAATCGTGTTCTGGATAAACTGCATAAAGAACCTGACTTGAACAGTCAAGTGCTGAGTCTGTTCTCACCATTGACTGACGCCTCAATCGACTCTGAAACAGATCCGACGGTGCCATCGAGAGTGAAGGTCAGAGTGCAAGTGTAGTTTTTTTGGTTTTTAGTTTCCACCTTATCAATCTTCAGTTTGGCGTTATCCTCGTAGCTATAGCTGTCATTCCCATCCACAATGAGGGAACAGCCCTAGATGAGAAAAGAAAAGGGAGACAATATGTAAAAACAAGTTATTTTAATGATTCAAGGCAGTCCTACTGTATAGTTAACAGGCAGAATGGTTGGCACAGTTTGTGTGGGGGGGGGGGGAGGAGGGCATTTATACCACATTTTATATTCAATATTTCTATTTTCAATGCTAACTATAGAATACACAATTACGTTTGTTCAGTGTGAACGGGATGCCAGTTCTGATGTTAAATGACAAGTTTGTGTTGAGTTGTGTTTGAAACATGGCAATAAAACAGCTGAAAACACGGAGAAAAAGCTGGAAAAGAAACACTCAATGAATGCATTCAGGTTTACAATTTTAAAAACATAACTCCTAAATGCTTGATTAATCAAAAGTCAATGAAACATTAATCATGGTGAATAGTCATATCAACATAGACCAAAATAATAATTAAAAGTAATACTAAGTGATATGCATTGCCAGGGATAGTCACTCTACAGAATAGACAAGGAAAACTCTTAAATTAGTCAAACTTAAAGGAAGTTTTCAACAAAAAAGTTTATTTAATAGTTAAACATTTTGCTTTTGGTTTATGTTTGTTATCAGAGATGATCCTTGAGAAGTGGGCTTGCCTTTCCTTTCTGACAGTATTATTGTAGATTTTCATGTGAAACTTTAAAATATCTAGATCGACATTTAATTTACTCTTCCTCCACTGGCTCTCTGCTCTGCGAGAGTTTCTTTTAAGCTGACAAATAGCAGCAGTTAAACATTTTGCTACATTTAAAACCCACTAACAACCATTTTCTCTAATTAAATGTGTTGTATGCAATCTCCATTTAAGCCAAACTGCTCGTTGTCCCCAGATTTGAATCCTTGACAAGATAATGAATGTCAGTGTCCAGCAAGATTTGCCCATAACTCACTTTGTACCACATCAAGTAGAAGGTGGTGTTGTAGCTGTTCAGTTTACTGATGTATTCCTTCAGAGGGCAGCTCAGGTAGTCGGAGACCCCCTTGGTGATCGTTTGGCCAGCTTTCCTCGGCCTGCCACACTTTCCAGGAACCGGCAGCTCCACTATCAGCCTGGTGTTCTGCCTGTAGCACCTAGAGGGAGTTCTGGTGAACAAATTAAGAAGAAGTTAGCATTTTCTGTTCACATTAGGCATTGAGCAGCTGTGTCTGCAGTTTCTTGGTTTAAAGAAAAAACTATCAATCTTTTAAATCAGTCAAACTTTTATATTTAGAAGAGGCAGGTGCTGATTCTTAGAGTGTACATCTAGGTTATCTGTTACTTGTTTACATGTTGATTCAAACACCACAATATTTTGCAAATTTGGGTGAGCAGGAGCTTAATGCAGGTTTATTTTGAAACATACAGTAAGGATCATACCTGCTGAGACACAAGTTTCGGATTTAACTTAAAAAACATGATACTATATTTTATCTTCGTCAGAAAACAGCTGTTTATTTTTTTATCAATAATACACACCAAGGCTCCAAGGCAAGTAGGAGTCTTTTTTCTGTTCAATCCTAAATATTGGGGTTGAGTTCTCATGCTCAAAATATGTATGCTTGTAAAATGTAGATGCTACTGATTTCTTCTTCAGTATTTTCTACATTGAAGACAGCCACACAAAACAAAAGGACATTAATTCCTTCTGATGTGACAGTACCTCAGTACGCTCACGTATTCTCCATCGTCGTCCAGCTTTGTGTTCAGAAACCACAGAGTCTCTCCGCGCACCACGGTTCGTCCGGTCTCGTTACTTATTTCTTGGCGCGTCTTTGAGTCGTACCAGGTGATGTTGTAGGGCACCGCTGAAATGTTGAAGACGTCATAAGATGCCAGGGTGCTGGTTAGCATAGCCACATCCCCGGGAACCGAGTAAACCCTCTTGAACTGGAGCATGTAGTTGGTACAGTTCTCTGCAAAACAAATATCAGTGAAGAAAGGATTCATCATTTATTCAGCAAGCAGGCAAGTATAGCCCATTTACTAAAAGACAACTCAATGTGCTTAACTTTAAAGTCACTAACAAGGTCTAAGAAGTTAGGTTTAGTCTGTAACTCTGACCAGGTTCAGGTTTCTGTAAATTAGGGTTAGTTGGTCAGATTCTTATCCCAGCTGCGTCACTGTAGCACTAAATGTTGTGCATTTTACAAGTTATAATTGTTTTGTTTCCTGACTGTCCAGGATTAGAGCCAGCAACCTTCACATCTATTAGAAATGCTGAGAACTGACAGAATAAGTCACTGCAGTTTCACCAGTGGCCATCAGAGGGCAGCAAAATACTTCTCTACATACTGGAGATGGATGTTAGTCATACTTGGCAAAAAACGTATGAACTCTAATTTCCTTTAAGATATATGCACATTACATGGTTATGTTTTATATAGTCTCAGAGCTCTAGTAAAGAGTCATTTGAGAGCACAGTGGGACTCACCTTGTTCGAATCCTGTACAGATCCCAGATAGCCCGAGGAAAAACAGAAGGCTTCCTAGGGTTGACCACCGGCCCATGGCTGGAAAACAGATAAACAACGGTTAGAGATGAGTGTTTACAACCAGCCTTAGTCAGTGCTAAGTGCTACTAGAGGAATAGCCTGTAATCCTGGCAAACAGCCAACAACTTACTGGACCTCTTCTGTCCGGTGACCGGTCACGAGGGAATGTAAATGTAATTTTTATTTTTCAAGCCAAACTTTAATTCCCCTTATATTTCTTCTCTTCCTCTCTAAAGGAACTTTTTCTTCACTCTATGTATACATTTATTACTGCTTCCTATATTTTGCAAAAGCATTTTATGTAATTGTACAAAGTATAAACAGACAATAAACATCTTTAATTGTCTAAGCCCTCTTCTCTCTACCTCACTTGTAGAAACAGTTGTGACAAATGTTCTAGTATTTCAGGAGTCATTTGTGCGAAAACCTCTGTGTAATGCTTTAAAAGGAGTCCATGCATTCCTGAAAATTGCCTTACGCAATCGAGCGTTCCTACTCAGCCTTGCGTGACATCTGTGAATGAACCCTCATAGAAAACTGGTGCCCTGTCTCAACTTGTAACCATATAGTTATTGTGCCAAGTCGAGTCAGTTTTTGTCACGACTTCATTTCTAGGTGGCTCTAGTGGGATTAACAGTACCCATCACGTTAAATGGTGACTTACCACAAGTATGTCTTTCTCTGAGAGCGTGTTTCAACATTTGGAATTTGTGCTTTAGTTGGTTAAACAATGCGTAGGTCAAAGCATATTTGTGGTTACAGAAGCTTGTTCATGTTGCTAACTTGTAAAACTGAGAAAGGCAACAACACTGCTGAGGTTAGAGCTCAGGTGTGTTCATTAGATAGATAGGTAGATAGATAGATAGATAGGTAGGTAGGTAGGTAGGTAGATAGGTAGGTAGGTAGGTAGATAGATAGATAGATAGATAGATAGATAGATAGATAGATAGATAGATAGATAGATAGATAGATAGGTAGGTAGATGGATAGATCTATCTATCTATCTACCATTGTCTATCGAGTCATCTCCCTGGACTGTAATCAAAGCACGTGACTAAAGCTGGAAACATGTGTTTGGACTGACTCTGTTCCACAGAACTTGTAGCTTTCCACTTGGATCTTAATTCATGAACTCAAACTTCAAATCAAAGCCAAGTTTTACAACTAAGTTTCTCATCCCTTTCCACAATTTCACGCATTTTTTCAATCCAGTTATGGCTTTGAAACCTGTTGTAGAAAACCTTCTCAGCCCCTGAGGTGAAGGATGAAGAGTTATTCTTATGTAATATATATGTAACATGTCCATTCAAATACGCAACGTTTCACTGTGATATCTTGTTTCAACAGTTACTCTATAAATGTCTCTTTTTTTTTTGTATAATTTTTTACATTTGTATTCTATTTTATCTTTATTTTTACCTTGTGTGAATCCTGTTTTTTTTCCACTCTGACCCGGTTGCTGCTATAAACGGCTGAATTTCTCCAAAGGGATAAATAAAATTCCATCTTATCTTATTCAAATTTTAATCATGATGGGAATGGTGTCCACAAATGCAGTTAACCTTAATCAGACCCAACCAGAACACAGATGTAACCTCATAGGCCAGAGTTTATTTTTACAAACGTATGATTTTACTGTGAAGTCCGGATCACTCCCTAATGTTCGTATTGTTCGTAATTTTTACTGTTTTTAGTTTATCTTTGTGTAAAAAAAGAAAAAGGCATTTTGGACAGACAAACTTAAGATGTACAATTACTACATTATGTCTTGAAAAAACACTGTGTAATTGTTTGCTGCCAAATGTCAATACAAAATATATTACAAAAAAATACATTTATTCTTGCAAAGAAACATCCAGAAGCAAGAAGCCAAAAAAATTGGTAAAATATGGAGTTACAAAAGTCTTACATTTTGATCACAGCTAGGAATTTGGCAAATATAAGTTGAACTCTTTGACATTTGTACTTTGTGGGCTGTATGCAGAGGTGTGAAACAAAGAAAAGACAAGAAAACGGTAGCAACAAGATGGGGGAACATTTTCCAAACCACAATATCTGCACCTCTCCATCTGGCGACAGGAAGACCCACTGCTGACACAGATAGACAGATAGCAACCGTTTTGAAGGTAGAGGTGCACTGGTGGTTTTGCAGGCTGCAGAGAATATGAAGTGCTGCACATACTGTGGTTTGGTGTTCATAACCAACTTTTCCCATCACAACTTTCACATGATCGCTTCTTTGCCCTTTGACTGTAAATGTCCTTTACCTCTTAAGCCCCACGGACCCTTCGGCGGGTCCAAAACCACAACATCTGCAAGCAACAGTGTCTGAGGGCTTCTTAAGATTTAATAAACTATGAATGTTTCATATCCATGTAACGGGAAGAAACTCAGCTAACTGATGATTTTTCTTTTTTTAGCAAAAAAAAACACAAGGCTAACGCTGAGCCTCTGAATTAGCCCCAAGCAAAGAAATGCTAACGCCGTTAGCACAGAAAACACGGTATAACACCCTTATTACTTATCGTAACTGCACATCCAAAAGAACGATTAGCATCGTGAGAATACACAGAATCGATAGGTATCTATATCATCACTCCATGATCAGAAATCGCAACATTATAAACAAAAACAGACATCACAACACGTGGCATTAGGTAGCAAACACGGCAATATGTCTTACCTTTGTCGTTGTCTGATCAAAAGTTGTCTTCAATGGCATTAAAACGATAAAAACGCTGCTGAAGGTTAATCCATAGGTTAATCCAATGTGTCTGTGTCCCTTTGAAATGATTTCTGATAATCCATCAGCAATAAACCTAGTCAATCAACCATTAAGTGGGGAAATGAGAAAAACCCTGAATATTATGTCAAAAAATGTTCTAAGGGAAGTTTGTGAGGTTAGTTCAAGTTCTGAGTTAGGATTGGTGGAGGGTGAAGCCACCTCATCAGCCTATGGGAGGATATATCAAAATGAAAGACTCATTTGGCGCATTAAATGGGATTTACCCAACCGCAGAGTTTTTAGTGTGAAGTGAGACGAGGTATATTTCTCGGTAACGAACAAGTTTCACCCTTTCCGTTTTGTGGTGAAGGCTGCTTTTTCCACTGCGGTTCTTCTTCTTTTTTGTTAAACTTCACTAGATCTGGTAACGGTGGTTGCGGCTGCAGCAGAACGCATTAACAACAAACAACGCAGCAGGGTGCATCTGCAACTCGAAAAGGCTGTACAAATGTGCAGAAATAACACAAAGATGAGTTTAAAACTGATAGAAAATGACATTTTATGACTTGTCTTTAACCCCTGTTAACAAACATCATGGGTGCAGGGTTTGCACAGTGAACAGTCAATAAAATGAAGTCTTTAAATGCTTTTGCTTCACTAACCAAACCTCAGTAGTCGTTATTAAAACCCACAGATATCAAAGTCTAACACACTAAAGCTTTAGTTTCAGTTCTATCTTGGTCAGTGGCTCTTATTTATGAGTTTCTTTCAGCCTGGCTCAGATGGACATGATAAAGTGAAAACATCTGCAATATTGTTTCTGAAAATATTTGACAAGACCTTCTTTAATCTGGAAGGCGAGCATAGACCTATTCAAGTTTCATAATAACTCAAAGTTTTTCATTTCAATGCCATAGCACTAATATGAAATTAGACAGTGGTGTAGATGAACTAAATACTCAAGTACTGTACTTAAGTAAAATGTTGAGATACTTGTAATTTTTTCATGTTATGCTACTTTGTACTCCACTACAGTTCAGAGGTAAATGGTGTACTTTTACACTACCACTACATGTATTTAACACCTTTAGTTACTCTACAGATCTGGATGAATGATCAAGTCTTAAATCAGACTTTAGTTCCACCTGGAGTAAATTCACAAGCTACCCTGCAGTATACAAAGTCATTCAAACTAGCTGCACCTTTACCAGCTTTGAGAACACTTTCATGATCAATCATTATAAAACATATCATATATATTATTATGAAATGGACCAATCTGCACAATGACTACTTTTACTTTTGGTACTTTAACTATAATTTGCTGCCAATACTATTCTACTTTTACTTGAGTAACATTTTGAATGCAGGACTTGTACTTGTAACAGAGTATTCCTACACTCTGGTACTAATACTTTTACTCAAGTACAAGATGTAAGTACTTTTACATTACATGTTACTTGTTAGACGCTTTTATCCAAAGCGACTTACATACAGTCAGTACTGTGGACAATCCCCACAGGAGCAATTTGGGGTGAAGTGTCTTGCCCAGGGACACAACGACATGCTGTGCATGCAGTGGGACTCAAACTTGCTACCCCCTGATTCGATGTTCATCGCACTCACTGAGCCACAGCATCCCTACTTCTTCCACCTCTGAGGTTAGGTATATCACTCTCTATGAATGGCTTACATACAGCAGGTGCCTCTAACATAATGTTGAAGGAAGTGTGTTTACACTGTGGTTGGTATTACACACACTTCTCTTAAACATGCAATGCTTACAGTGTGTTACTCAAAACTAACTGAATCTGATCTGTTTTACATGCTTTCGGTGGCAAGAGTAACTATTACAAAATTAGAAATTGAAAATTAAACACTTGATTAGCAAAATTGAGCAGATTATATTGACTCACCTAAGAGAAAGCGACACAGGTTAGGGAACAGACGCAGGAAGGAGTGAATCGTTTACACAGCAGCGCTCAGAGGAAACCTCACCCGTGCCCCTCTGACTCAACTCTGTACCACCTCCAGATCACTCACAATGTTTTCATTGCTTCGGTCAAATCTCTGCATACCTTCCTTTGCTGTTTGCAGCACAACCTTCCCCTTCTTCTGACTACAATAACTTACCTCAAAATAAAACAGCCTTACTGAGAAACCTTTATAACAACTTCTACTTAACTTTACAACCATGGTAGATAACCACACATTTAACAACAAAGTATACCACCTCTGTTGTGCAATATCACCTATGCGCCATATACTGTATATAGTGTATATATATCACTTTATATTTATTATTTGTACTGGCTGCTATCTCGTAGTTAGATGATTCAACTACTGAAATAATACCTGTCCAATATATACTTCCACTTTTACTTCTGTTACCTGGCTGCCATCACACTACTTCATACTAACGCATATTTAAAAATCAATCTTGTTACTGGTACTTTTTTTGGTGTGTTTTTGTAAATTGTAATTTATGCAATTTCTTTTTTTATCGTTAATATGTTATGCATGCCTCTTAGTTTCTATTTTCTATTCTTGGTTCTTCACTTTTGCTGTAACAATGTACATTTCCCCTCTCTGGGATGAATAGAGTTATTCTGATTCCGATACTTTGAAGTAATAATTCACCAATGTAAGAAATTAGAAGATTTTCCTCTCTGCCGTGATATGCTATCCCAACCTTTGCAAGGAAACAGCGTTGTGATATTCCAAGCAACAAAGATTTCAACAAGTTATGTACAAAAGGGGGCTTATATTTTGAAAAATGACGATTAAATCTTCTTAAAAATCAATAAATGAGAACATTACTTAGTTTTCCGACCAACCACTTGATAAAAGTAACTGTTATTTCAAGAATTGAAGAAACCAAAAGGCTGAAAGAGAGGATAATAATAATAATAATAATAATAATAATAATAATAATAATAATAATAATAATAATAATAATAATAATAATAATAATAATAATACATTTATTTTGTAAATGCTTTTACAGGTGCTCAAAGTCGCTCTACAGAGGTAGTAACAACTAAAAAAGAACAACAATTAAATAAAGTAAAAATCACATTAAAATCGAACAATAAAACAACAATCACACATTAAAAGCCAGTTTGAAAGATGATCGACCGGGGAGAAGTTTTCCCAGCATTTAAAATGTTATTCAGACCGATGGACAGTTCTTGAAAAACCACTTGACAGTGAGGTGCGGTGTGCAGAGGCGTACAGCCACACCTGGGCTTCCCCCTGGAGAGAGCCATCCCCAGAACACAGGCTTTATTCAGCTGTGAGTCTTACCCCGCATCTCAAATCCCTGAGTAAATGTCAACGTTTCACCACAGAAAGAACGTGAGGTTAGGACATACTTTCCAACATCACTCACATTAAGTGCTTTGTTCTCATTTCGGTCTCGTAAAGCTTACGTTTTTTCAACCGTTGGAACTTCTTTGTGGTAAAGACTTCGGGCCACATGTGATTATTATACTAAAAACAGAAGACGTTCAAGTTTCTCCACTAAGTTGTTTTTCCCAGCAGTTCTTGAGTGCTTTATTTAGCATGTCTGAGAAAAAGCTTAATACACTTATTTGAACACAGCAGTAGAAGTTGAAATATCTCTAATAAAATGGTTGAAGACGTATCAAAATATACACTATAATCGAACGTATATTGCAATAAAAATAACCTCAAAAAACCTTTCCTCTTAGGCAGCAAAAAGGAAAGATTGTGGAGAAACTGGTGGAGAATACTGATGATGCTAATGTAAGTGAATTGCTTAAACGGTATTAAATGTTGGTGCATGATAGACAAGTTTAGTTAACAAAATCACAACAGAAAGTATCGCTTTGTAAAAGCACCATCTGCAAATGCTTAACTTTACAGTCATTAATAAACTTTGAAATTGACATTGTCATTGCTTTCAATATATGTAAGTTTGAACTGTGTGGTCATTTCCAGTATTAGCGTAGACTAGAAGGAATGTGTAATGTACCCGGAAAAAGTTCCCTTTCCAGATGAATTATGAGGCGCTTTCACACCGGAGTACTTTTCCCAGGAATAGTTCCGATAGTTCCTGGGATTTTGCGTTCAAACCAAAAAGATCTGGAGCTACAACTTTTCTTTGCGAACCTTAGCCGCTTTCACACCGAGTACTTTGCCGTACTTAGTTCCCAGCACTTAGTTCCCCGGAACTCTTTAGTTCATCAGAACTCTTTAGTTCGAACTAAGAAAGCCTTCTCAGGTCACATGAAATCTTGTCAAAACATCTTTAAAAAGAGAAGACAAATCTTAGCTCAGATGTGTCCTCTCCAGCTTCGACTTCCTTTTTTTCACACCACACGCAGATGTTTTACACAGACCAAGTTAGAAGTAATTCATAAAACAAAAACACATTTCTCTGCGTCCTACACTGACGGTTCTTTCCTATGAATCCCATCCAGCAATTATTAATCTCATCTCTATGAGTTCAGCTATTTCCAACACTTGTGTTTGTTTGTTATGGTTTCATTGGAAGCTGCTTTATTTCAATAGTGTCATTTTGAGACCTCTTGTGGCTGAACAGGGAAGCAACTTGAGATACATAGATAGATAGATAGATAGACTGATAGATAGATAGATAGATAGATAGATAGATAGTGTAGTGGCAATTTCTTATATTACTTTATATGGTAGAACCAAATGCAACACTTATATGATGAAAACTGTATTCAGTACATGTCTCTTTGTTCGACTTGTTGTTCACCCAGATGCTTCTTGCCACATTTGAACAGTACAGTTATTGTTCCTCAAAAGAGCATTGCAAGATAACAGTCAGCAGAAAGTGTTATCTCTCTGTCTGCACAGCAACAGTTACAAAAAAGCGCCAAGGTCCTCTATAAATCACACACACACACATTTCACTCTGTGTGCACTCCTGCAGACTACTCTATACTCTGTATGACATGCACCTTTGAAGCGCTTCAAATAAAGAACCAACAAGACAACTCTGTTTGCATCGGACCAGTTTTATTATTATTATTACTAGCCTACTAGCAGTGGCGGCCGGAGCATATGTGTGGGCTGGACCTGTATTTTACAGGAAAGGAGTGAACAGTGGGTCGAGTTGTCGATTCTTGTTCAGTTTTCATCTTCCTCACCCTCTCAGACTTTGAGTTGCGCGCGCTGCTAAAGAGACGTGCTACCATGGAAACCAAACAATGGTGTAGCTGTATTAAAGTCCGAGTGGAAACAGTCGTGAGTAAATCAGATTTTGTCAGAAATCGGGAGAAATGCGGGAGAAATATGACCCCGGGAGGAAACCGGGAGAGGGCAATGAAATCGGGAGTCTCCCGTGAAAATCGGGAGGGTTGGCGAGTACACACACACACACACGCACACACACACACACACACACACACACACACACACACACACACACACACACACACACACACACACACACACACACACACACACACACAATGTTCGTATTTAGTCTCCTGATTTTAAATGGGAATTAAATAATTTGAGTGTTCCCAAAGCACCAGTGTTCTGCAGTTTCTGTGGGCCTACTGTACTGTTGCAGAGTTTTGGAAGATTCATAGCTAACCAGACTGAAGATTATGGATTATCTCGTATTTTTAAGCCTCAATTTGTCCTCCCCCCCCTCTAACATCACCAGAAGTCATCATTTAAGGCAGACCTGGGCATTGTACGGCCCCCGGGCCACATACGGCCCTTTGGTTGACTCTGACCGGCCCGTGTAAGGCTAATTGGAAATTACAAAATAAACATATTTTCTAACTTTACCTCATGCATGGACTAAAGCTGCATTGCTTTTATTTTGAAGTTGTTTTTTATTCACGTGCATAATGACGCAATACGTATATCAAGACGTGCACATTATTGGATCCTTGTCACAAGACGACTTTAGCCCTCAAAAAAATGTCCGCTAAAAAAAGAAAGGTAGATGCTGAATGCAAGGATCCCACCGGGCAGGAGAATATTTCCATTGTTCTTCGGTTTATCAATGCAAACTGTGAGATAAAAGAGCGGCTTTTGACCATAGCCACTGCAGACAGAGGGGATGCCAACCATTAAAACACTCCTCACCACCTTCCACAAGACTCTGGAAGCCATGCCAAGTGTCATAGGGGCATTTAAGTCGGCCTTAACTTTCGGGGGCCTCCACTGCTACCTGCGAGAACTCGTTTTCAGCCCTGAAAAACATTTTCAGTGACCACCGACGGAGCATGCTGCACCAGCTCACCTTATTCAACTCGAGTTTGAAAAGGACTTGACCAGGAAATGCAGGGATGAGTAGAAGGACACTTTGCTGAGGCGATTTCATTCTTCAGGCAAACGGCGTCTCCAGCTTTATTAGCATAAAGCAGTAAGTATAATGTTTGCATGTCAATATGTCAGTGCTTACTGCGCCACATTACGCACTGCATAATGTGGTGTTGCGTCGCTCCCTCTCTGTATTATTATGTTTGCTGCTCTGGTCAACGGTGGCCCAAGCAAAGCTGTTGCTGTTATGTTTGTATTTCAAATGTGTGTGTTAAGGGAAATGTGTACATATGTCCTCAGTTGTTGTTATATTATATATATATATATTATATCTATTCTGTACTCAAGCTCACAAAGGGATGTCATGTTATTATTGTTGTACCACTGTGAGGCACTGAAGTGTTATAGGACGCAGGCTTTCGTCATATGTAAATGAGGGTGTGTTCACCTGATGCACATGTCCAGATCTATGTGTGTTGTTGTTCTAAGTTAGCTCGGCTGAGCGAAAGGATGCACCTGCAGTGCATAGGAAAATAAACCATGCCCAAGGCGGGCTAAACAGTTCATCGTCTCCGTCTCTACTATTTCTCTCCGAGTGCAACAATGAGGAAGCTGCCATCCTTAACCAGTGTGCCTTGCTCGTGATTTACTACCAGTGTTTGTGCTGCCACGCACACAATGTTTCAAAAGTGGTTTCTATGTTGCCATTTATTTGTGTATGTATTTGCGATAAGTGTGCGTCTTTACGCAATGCTGTTGGCCTTGCTGTTTGATATATATTGTGCCGCAGGCCCGCAGCACATGACGGTTTTGTGTGCCCTCCCATGAAAATCATATGCCCTCCCTTTAGATTTGTTCTGGCGCCGGGTCTGGCTGTCTCATAGGTGTGACTGGAGCTCTTCCTAACACTGGAGTCTGCAGCCCCTCAAGAGCAGAGAAAAGGGGGAGTTCTTGCTCCAAAAGGGTAAGCACCCTCAAAGCATGTGCAAAATCACTGTGAGATGAGCAACATAGCACCACATTTAACTCTCCCTGACTTGTTTGTAAAGCGTTCTTTTAGGCCTGGATTGAGTCTTCTGTTGTGTAACGGAAAATCCCATTTCCAAGAGGGGTCAAGAGCACATAGTTTTGTTGATTTTGGTAAAGTATTTGAGCTTTAGCTTTGCGAAAAACTTCCTCATATTGGTTTTGAAGATATTGTTGGGGTTTGTAGTTCCCACATATGTTTAAAAGGTACATGCAAAACGACCGGTATTTGTGGCTCATCACCCCCTCGAGTGACGACCACATTGCCTTCTGACAGTTTAATAGTCCTTATTATATTATTGCTCTGTGTTTGCATGCTAGGACCTATTCTCTGTGCCAGAGCTGCTGCTACACCTCCTGCATGTTGGAGATCCATATTAGCAGGGTTCATTAACATGGTTGTTTGATCCAGTTTAAGATGTTCAATATCGGCCATTATTATTTTCAACATTCCTTTGCCCTGAATATCATGTCTAACAATGTGTTTTCTTCTAGGAGTATTAGATGGGTTACTCATAAATGGCGTTTGTGAGTTATCATCTCCATACGGCGGAGGTAGGGTCTCAGACATTATACCACCTGCTTGTTGCTCTCTGTCTAAGCGGTAGTCTACAAGGTAGGTAGTTAGGTCGCAGCAAGCCCGTGGGTCTGGGCTAATACGACCAGGTGGGGCAGAAGGGCCGGATCGGAATTCTGTGTATCCCTCCCATTCTGTGGCTGGCTCTGAGTCATTGAACTGCGTTCTAACCTCATCCGCCATTTTTTAAGGGTTTAAGTTCACTCTTTTATACACATGCAAGTTCCTAGGCTATTAATCACGCCGGATGATCAGTCCGACTATACCGTCACTTTGTTCTAGGTTACTCTCCTGGATTCAGCTAGTGCATGCGGATACCTCAACTATCCAGCTTTGAGCTTTTCCAACAGCCTAGGTACCCTTTAGACCTATGGTTTATCTTATTAAATATCCTATTAACTCTTCACCACGTTATGTTTTAACGCAAATGGTCTAACCGCAGCTCTTTGTCAAATCCTACCTATAAGTTTCAAAGTAATTAGACAGGTACTGAGCAGTGCTCCTACGGCTGACTTCACTAATAACTACTAGCCACCAAACCTGTGCATTAGGGACCACAGGGGCTTCCTAGTTTGGCTAGGGGAAGAAGCGCCTACTTTAGCTTCTTTAAACAGACAGCAATATCCGATATAATATAACCCTCAGTCCGGTGCAATAGTATCAACATTAGTTACTACACTTTTAGGTTTAAATATTTTTTCTAGGATTTGGGTAGGTATTTTATAAGACTTTCAGCCTGTATTTTGCTGATTGAAACTCATTGACCGTTGTCACTAGGCCGATTTGGTTCTTGTAGTTTAACTCTGTAAAAGTTTAACTTTTAACAGAGCCCCACGTTGGGTGCCATGTTGGAGTCGGGAGGCCTGTTAATTTATTCCGGCAAATTACTCAGACCTACTAATTGACCTGACAGAAGCTATTGAGTCTATGTAAGTGTACTGCTTGGCTCAGATCCACCAAGGTCAGCAAGGTCTCACCTCTATTAACTCCTGAAGAACCAGGTTCAATGAACTGCTGTTTCAAATCAGAAGACACGCTAAATCTGTTTAAGCGATCCCGAAGGATTTTGGTATCAGTAATAAGGTGTGGTCCTACAGTACGTGTGTGTGTGGCAGTTGTGCAATCTTACCTTTTAAGCAGGAGAGGAGAGCGCAGATTTCTTTTAAGTTCTCCCAATCCGAAAGGGTGGGATCAGTTTATTTGAAGAAAAAATGGTCCACACTTGTACAGGGTTTTTACCTTCTCTCGTTAGAATATGACAATCATACAAAACATATCATGCTCTGGGGCCTCATTTATAACACATAGCGTAGGATGGACGTAGGAAGGTTGCTTACGTAGTACAAAGCACAAAAATAGGTACATACATTTTCCGCCATTTTCCGATTCACAAAACATTGCGTACCGGCGAGGGAAGTGCGTACGGCACTTCCTACGCCTGTTTCCCTTTATAAATCACAATCGACTCGTAACGCCCATATTTGCCTATAAATAGTCAAAGAAACGCCCATTCATTCATTCATTCATTTTGACTGACTGCATGAAGAAGATCGCAGGAAATTACGACCGAACAACTAAAAAAGACATCTCACACCGTGTCAGATTTAGGTTATTTTGGGGAGGTCGAGATAAATCATATTGTTTGGTGGATGCAGTTTGAACCAGAGCAGCAGCATGGAGGTCGGATCGTCACCAAAATAAATAAATAAGTGGTCCGAAAAAAGTTAATGACAAAAAAAATACACATAACCTTCCTCAGGCAGTGTGTTTGTCCCGGGGACAGGAGACCCACCCCCTTGATGAGAAACTGTAAGAAATGATGGGGGAATCCCTCCGGAGTGGAGTCATGACGACTGGATCTGAATTATTTTGTTGTATTTGGTGGTTTGTGTTCCAGCTGTCGATCAGCAACTATATATCCATAATCCACCAGTTAAAGGAAATACAACTAATGTGTTGTGTTATATTAGCTGTACAATTTACCGGTGTTCTTAGTTTCCATACCTCCTGTGTTTTACGAGCGACTTATCAAGTCTTGGCAAATGGCATAAAACACGATTAAACGTGATAGTATATAAAACCATGCTCGTATCTACAACCTATAGAAATGCAAAACGGCGTCAGTTTAGACGTAATTCTGTCCTCCTGCTTACCGCATCATTTATGAGAAAACATTTCATAACATTAACACAACATATTCGAGGTGGTTTTAAATATATAAATATATAAATAGCATATATTTATTTATTTCTCCAAGTTATATGTTTTTGTGTGCACTGAGGAGTCTCAAACAGGCGTTTGTTTAATCATTTTAAGATTGGCTTTAATCAATGTTTGAAAATGAATTCTTCATATTTGATAAATGAGAGGTAACATTTTATTTATGGTATTATTTCCACATATTTCTCTCCATTCTTCCTTCTGCCAACGGTGTCGCAGTTTCTCGTCTCTCCCGTTTGTGTGCTTAGTGCGTACGCATGGGTTAGAGTTTGCGTGGAGGACCGCACATTTTCCCGTCAAGTTAGTATTTTATAAATCGCAAACATTGCGTAGAAACTGGCGTACGCCATTTTTTGAGCGAATATCCCTTTATAAATTAGGCCCCTGGTCCTTTTCTAATATGTAACTTCAACTGCCCAATTCATTTGTGACATTAAAATCTTCCGACAGAATCCGGAGGAATCTCCTCATAAATCGCCAGTGCTAAAAACACATTCAAGCCTAGAGTCCGACACCATTTAGAGGGATTTCCTCATAAATAGTCAGTGGATCTAACACATTCAAACTTTCATTCAACAATTTACTCCAACCATTCAACAAATCTATTTGAGGGACCTTACCAAGTTGGAGAGAACCTACCAAGGAGAGAGCTTACCAGGGGAAAAACCCCGCTCTCTCGCGTTCTCCCTCTCAGCCAGTGTTTTTATGATCCACACAGGGACAGAAAAAACCCAAAGACACCTCCTTCATACCCATATATGTGGGGAAAGGTCATGACCTCTGGTGTGCAGGACTGGACATGTCCAGACATATTCTCCTATGCCATGGACTAAACACATTTTGGGGCCGCAGTACTTTTCCATTGAGTCAGGGCCCCCCCCTGTGCACAGCCAACTGTGAGTGAAGACAACTGTCTCCCCTCTTTAAACAGTGACACCCTATAGTGAAACTATAATAGGCTTCTAAACTCAATTTAACAAACCTCTTGTGGTTGTATATACTGTGATTATAGAACAACATGAAATATAATGCATCTTCATTGTGGGTTATACAAGAATATATTTGATTATATTTGATTATATTAACTTTCGTTTGAATTATTCAACCTAATATGGAGACCTCAACAAGTGCTAATTTTACAAGGGCCGGAGTGCACCTATGACTCGCGCATGCATGTTGTGGCACGACCACCAAAACAGAAGCATATGGATATAGTTTACGATATAAAAAGTGTGTAAATGTATTTAGTATCCTATCCATTTGAACATGTTTAATTGGGGGATGGACCTAACATCCTCAAGGTGGGTCCCAGGGCATGCTCCCCCGGTAACATTTTGAAGTTAAATGCATCAATCTGGTGCACTTTGAGGCCAAAATTAAGGACTAGATCTATGGATACAGATCTCAACAACACCCATGTGAAACAGAACTGTAAACAGATTTACTTTTTCTTTATGCATATTTTACTAATCGCTCCCCTTTTAAACTGTATTCTTGTTTTACTGTCCTACTGTATAGTATGAATTGGAATTATTTCATACCTGTTTTGATTTATTCTCTTATTCTTTTTCAACTATAAAGATCATATAAAGGTGTGCCTTGGAAATACTTGTTTACATAAATAGTGACCTAAAGGTTTGAGACTGAGATAACTAAAGGTAACTATCTAAACCCTCAGAGAGTCCTGTACCTCACTGAGCTGTAGTTATCTCTCTCAGTCTGACAGGAGAGGGCTCTCCTCCACCTTGTTGTAGAAACAGCTTCTTATATCCGTTAGCGCAGCTAGCTAACCAGATGCTAACAACAACAATCCCCGGTACCGGTGCGCTCTCTCTCTCTCTCGCTCTCTCACTCACACAAAATGCGCTCGTGCCACACACAAAGAGGCCAGCTTGAATGACACACAGAGACCCAGAAGTACTTGTACTTATCCTATTCTTTTCAATGGCTTTATTGTATGATTAGTATGACAGATGAACAGATCGCCACTGGGCTTACAGCTAAAGACACAGCCACGCAAAGAACGCGGCATGTGTACAGCTCTTGATGTGTACTGCAATTTTTAAAGTGGTGAAAATGTTCTACTGGTGTCCGCAGTACGTCTCATGATTGTACCTTTTGTTTTTATTTAACTTGTGAATAAATGATGATATCTAAGGGTCTTACTTTTTGACCTTTTGGTTGGATAATACAAACAATAGGAGATGTTAACACAGGTTTCCCTGACAGCCCACAAAGAATGAAAAAAACAACAGAGGTTTAAACTTTACGCGCTGGGTTTTGACCTGTTGGCAGCAGAGTAAAGTAGCTCAGAGGGTTTCCTTTGGCACTGAACGCACGACAAGTGTAGTTGATGTTGTAATCCTTCTCCTGTAGCTTAGAAATCGTCAGCACACGCTCCATCCACACACCCTCAACAGGAACAGTCTGGCTTCTAGTCCTGGGGGGCACAGAAAGATTATAAAATGTTATGGTAATGTGCTTAATTAGAGATTGATATTTGAGAAAGTTTATTTTTTGTCAGTAGAAGACACATTGTTAAATCAATTGGAGTAACTACATGCAATCAGAACAGTTTGCATGTAAAAAAGAACTAATACTTCCCTTTATAAGAACAATTGACAATGCTCACTAGTTATCCACCAGGGGATTTCAACATGGTATTGTTTTTCAGAATGTTGCAAAAAAATAAGGAGGTGTAAATATTGGCGTAAATATTGTGTTTACTATGTCAATTTTCTGTAAACTCTGAACAAACTTGTCGTAAGTTAAAATGTTTGAATCAGACCTGAGTCAGTTGTCTCATTACAACCGTGGACTTCATCATAGTTTTCACTTGTACCATAAAAGCAGCCAAATAAACAAAACAAATAAAACGAAAGGTAAGGATGCTCACAGTTTTTCTGATGTGTAGACACGTTTGGAGGCGTTTGTTTCCATAATTAAATCTCTTTGGACGGACCAATAAACATCAACCGAAGGCTTCCCGACACAAGGCACAAACACCTGGCACAGTTGGCTGAAAGTTGACCCTAAACACAGGCATAAACAATAAAACAAGTCAAAAAATGTCTCTGTATCCATAAACCCCTACATTTAAAATCTGTGAAATAGTTTTGTGCTGCCAAGGTTCCTGAGCTAGCTTTTATACCAAAAATAGTCCTGAGTTTGTTACAGGTGCCATTGAAAAGATGAAATCCAGTCTAAGTCATAGTTATTTTAACGCCACAGCTTTGCTCCTTAGTTGTAAATAATACAATGAATCAGGATTATAGAACTCAAATCATTTGATTTTCTGATATAAAGTAAGGTTAACAGTTAAATAATACCCTAACAAATGAATCTACCCAAAATTACTTTTTGTAAAGCTGTGCAATGCAAAAGTTGATCTGAATGCAGCCTCAGTCAGTTTCAACAATTCACATTTTTGACCTTTAAAACCCCATCTTTCTCAAAATACTTAGCAAGAAAGGACCTACCTATCGGTGACTTGATTATCTCACCGGCTGGTTGGCGCACTTGTGGTGTCAAAGAGTACTTTGCTGAAAAGACAGACAACATGACGGAGCTTTAGGTTATCTATTTACAGAAAAATACTGTAGGCAATAATACCAAAGAGTAATTAGCCTTTCTTTGTTATCAATTTAAGGCAGGGGTGTCAAAGTACATTTCATCGCGGGCCTCATTAGCAATATGGTTGCACTCAAAGGGCCGGTTGTAACTTTAAGACTAAATAAATATACATATATAAAATAATGTATTATATTACATTATTGCCTCTGCATTGGATTATTATCGGATAGGGTAATAACTTCATAATTAACTACGTCTGAAAGCAGAAGTCTAGGGCAAATAATTGCAAGTCTCTTCAGTGAGAATGTCACAAAATGAGATGCATTGTGGGGCATGTCGTTTATGGACAAGGTGATTCTGTAAAGCGGCATGTAACCGTATAATAAACGTATTATATTCTTTGCAAGCTCTTGCGGGCCACATAAAATGAAGTTGAAGGCCGGATTTGGACCGCGGGCCTTGAGTTTGACACCCCTGATTTAAGGTAACAGGAATGATTTCCAGCCCTTGTCAGTCTGTTGTAAACCTCGCTAACTTGTGGATGCCACAGTAGGATTCATTATTGAATCGTGTTCTGGATAAACTGCATAAAGAACCTGACTTGAACAGTCAAGTGCTGAGTCTGTTCTCACCTGTGACTGACACCTCAATCGACTCTGAAACAGATCCGACGGTGCCATCGAGAGTGAAGGTCAGAGTGCAGGTGTAGGACTGTTGGCTTTTAGTTTCCACCTTATCAATCTTCAGTTTGGCGTTATCCTCGTAGCTATAGCTGTCATTCCCATCCACAATGGGGGCACAGCCCTAGAGGAGAAAAGAAAAGGGAGACTATATGTAAAAAAACACTTATGATTCAAGGCAGTCCTATGGTTAACTGGCAAATTTCTTTGAACAAAATACCACATTTTATATTCAATATTTCTATTTTCAATGCTAACTATAACCTGCAGTCACATTCACAATTCCGTTTGTTCAGTGTGAACGGGATGCCAGTTCTGTTAAATGACAAATAAAAGGGAGTTGTGTTTGAAACATGGCAATAAAACAGCTGAAAACACAGGGGAAAAGCTGGAAAAGAAACACTAAAAGAATGCATTCAGGTTTACAATTTTAAAAACATAACTCTATTTATCAAAAGTCAATCAAACATTAATCATGGTGAATAGTCATGATATCAATATAGACCAAACATAATCTCTATAATCAAAAGTAATACTAGGTGATATGCTTTGCCAGGGATAGTCACTCTACAGAATAGACAAAGAAAAGTCTTAGTTTTCAACAAAACAAAAAAATATCTAGTCGCAGTGTATACAGTAAAAGTAAGATTTGTATAAATTATTAATGTTTAATTAACACCTATGCTGTATCTTTTACCAGATATAGTTAAACATTTTGCTACATTTAAAACCCACCAACAATTGGTTTCTCTAATTAAATATGTGGTATGCAATCTCCATGTAAACTGCTCGTTGTCCCCAGATTGTAATCATTGACAAGAATATTTTATGTGAGTGTCCAACAAGATTTGCCCATAACTCACTTTGTACCACATCAAGGAGAAGGTGGTGTTGTAGCTGTTCAGTTTGCTGATGTATTCCTTCAGAGGGCAGCCCAGGTAGTCGGTGACCCCCTTGGTGATCGTTTGGTAAGCTTTCCTCGGCCTGCCACACTTTCCAGGAACCGGCAGCTCCACTATCAGCCTGGTGTTCTGCCTGTAGCACCTAGAGGGAGTTCTGGTGTACAAATTAAGATGAAGTTAGCATTTTCTGGGGCTCACCATGTTTGGGTAACCCTAACCCAAATATGGTTCCTCGCCCGATAAAGGGTTAAATAAAACCAGTCAAACGTTGATATTTAGAAGAGGCAGGTGCTGATTCCTAGAGTGTACATTTAGGTTATCTGTTACTTGTTTACATGTTGATTCAAACACCACAATGTTTTGCAAGTTTTAGTGAGCAGGAGCTTAATGCAGGTTTAAGTATTTTGAAACATAAGGATCATACCTGCTGCGACACAAGTTTCTGATTTTACTTAAAAAACATGATACTATATTTTATCTTCGTCAGAAAACAGCTGTTTATTCTTATCAATAATACACACAAGCTCCAAGGCAAGTAGGAGTCTTTAAAGCAAGAACTGTTCAATCCTAAATGTTCAGGTTGAGGTCTCATGCTCAAAATATGTATGCTTGTAAAATGTAGATGTTATTGATTTCTTCTTCAGTATTTTCTACATTGAAGACAGCCACACAAAACAAAAGGACATGAATTCCTTCTGATGTGACAGTACCTCAGTACGCTCACGTATTCTCCATCGTCGCCCAGCTTTGTGTTCAGAAACCATAGAGTCTCTCCGCGCACCACGGTTCGTCCGGTCTCGTTACTTATTTCTTGGCGCGTCTTTGAGTCGTACCAGGTGATGTTGTAGGGCACCGCTGAAATGTTGAAGATGTCATAAGACGCCAGGGTGCTGGTTAGCATAGCCACATCCCCGGGAACCGAGTAAACCCTCTTGAACTGGAGCATGTAGTTGGTACAGTTCTCTGCAAAACAAATATCAGTGAAGAACGGATTCATCATTTATTCAGCAAGTAGGCAAGTATAGCCCATTTACTAAAAGACAACTCAATGTGTTTAACTTTAAAGTCACTTAAGGACTAACAAGGTTGAAAAAGTAAGGTTTAGTCTGTAGCTCTGACCAGGTTCAGGTTTCTGTAAATGAAGGTTAGTTGGTCAGATTCTTATCCCAGCTGAGTCACTGTAGCACTTAAAGGTGGGGTAGGTAATTTTGGAGAAACCAGCTCGAGTGCGCTAGAATTTGAAAATACACAGCCGGAAAAAATCTGCCACTTCCTTACAGAGCCCCTCCTCCAACACACACGAACGCGCACATGACCAATGGGGGCACGATATAAGTTTGTGCACATATGGAAGGCTGACAGGCAGGTAGGCCATCCAGTTATTTTCGCCGGGCCGGCTAAAATGATTGGTCGTGCTTTTTACAGTACTACGGCTTCCACAGATGACATTTTTTAATGGATTTTTTGTCAAAGCACTTAAGATATTCATTGCTATCGGGATGTTAAGAGCATTCCATGGAATATAACAAAAAGTGTATCTCGAGCTGGTTTCTCAAAATGACCTACCCCACCTTTAATGTCTTGCATTTTACAAGTTATAATTTTGTTGTTTCCTGACTGTCCAGGATTAGAGCCAGCAACCTTCACATCTATTAGAAATGCTGAGAACTGACAGAATAAGTCACTGCAGTTTCACCAGTGGCCATCAGAGGGCAGCAAAATACTTCTCTACATACTGGAGATGGATGTTAGTCATACTTGGCAAAAAACGTATAAACTGTAATTTCCTTTAAGATATATGCACATTACATGGTTATGTTTTTCTCAGAGCTCTAGTAAAGAGTCATTTGAGAGCACAGTGGGACTCACCTTGTTCGAATCCTGTACAGATCCCAGATAGCCCGAGGAAAAACAGAAGGCTTCCTAGGGTTGACCACCGGCCCATGGCTGGAAAACAGATAAACAACAGTTAGAGATGAGTGTTTAAAACCAGCCTTAGTCAAAGTGCTACCAGAGGGATAGCCTGTAATCCTGGCAAACAGCCAACAACTTACTGGACCTCTTCTGTCCGGTGACACTGACCGGTCACGAGGGAATGTAAATGTAATTTATTTTTTTCTTAAAGCCAAACTTTAATTCCCCTTATATTTCTTCTCTTCCTCTCTAAAGCAACTTTTGCTTCACTCTATGTATACATTTATTACTGCTTCCTATATTTTGCAAAAGCATTTTACGTAATTGTACAAAGTATAAACAGACATTAAAAATCCTTTAATTGTCTAAGCCCTCTTCTCTCTACCTCACTTGTACAAACAGTTGTGACAAATGTTTTTTATATCTAGTGAGTCATTTGTGCAAAAACCTCTGCGTAACGCTTTGGAAGGAGTCCATGCATTCCTGAAAATCGCCTTATGCAATCGAGCGTTCCTACTCAGCCTTGCGTGACATCTGTGAATGAACCCTCATAGAAAACTGGTGCCCTGTCTCAACTTGTAACCATATAGTTATTGTGCCAAGTCAAGTCAGTTTTTGGCATGACTTCCTTTGTAGATGGCTCTAGTGGGATTAACAGTACCCATCACGTTAAATGGTGACTTACCACAAGTATGTCTTTCTCTGAGAGCGTGTCTCAACATTTGTAATTTGTGCTTTAGTTGGTTAAACAATGCGTAGGTCAAAGCATATTTGTGGTTACAGAAGCTTGTTCATGTTGCTAACTTGTAAAACTGAGAAAGGCAAGAATACTGATTTGGATTGATGATGTGAAATATAATCAAGTCTTAAATCAGACTTTAGATCCACCTGGAGTAAATTCACAAGCTACCCTGCAGTATACAAAGTCATTCAAACTAGCTGCACATTTACCAGCTTTGAGAACACTTTAATGATCAATAATTATAAAACATATCATATATATTATTCTGAAATGGACCAATCTGCACAATGACTACTTTTACTTTTGGTACTTTAACTATAATTTGCTGCCAATACTATTCTACTTTTACTTGAGTAACATTTTGAATGCAGGACTTGTAACAGAGTATTCCTACACTCTAGTACTAAGATCTTGTACTTGAGTAAAAGTATGAGTACTTTTACATTACATGTTACTTGTTAGACGCTTTTATCCAAAGCGACTTACATACATTCAATACTGTGGGCAATCCCCACAGGAGCAATTTGGGGTGAAGTGTCTTGCCCAGGGACACAACGACATGCTGACTGCAGTGGGACTCGAACTTGCTACCCCCTGATTCGATGTTCATCGCACTCACTGAGCCACAGCCTCCCTACTTCTTCCACCTCTGAGGTTAGGTATATCACTCTCTATGAATGGCTTACATACAGCAGGTGCCTCTAACATAATGTTGAAGGAAGTGTGTTTACACTGTGGTTGGTATTACACACACTTCTCTTAAACATGCAATGCTTAACGGTGTGCTGCTCAAAGCTAACTGAATCTGATCTGTTTTACATGCTTTCGGTGGCAAGAGTAACTATTACAAAATCAGAAATTGAAAATTAAACACTTGATTAGCAAAATTGAGCAGATTATATTGACTCACCTAAGAGAAAGCGACACAGGTTAGGGAACAGACGCAGGAAGGAGTGAATCGTTTACACAGCAGCGCTCAGAGGAAACCTTACCCGTGCCCCTCTGACTCAACTCTGTACCACCTCCAGATAACTCACAATGTTTTCATTGCTTCGGTCAAATCTCTGCATACCTTCCTTTGCTTTTTGCAGCACAACCTTCCCCTTCTTCTGACTACAATAACTTACCTCAAAATAAAACAGCCTTACTGAGCGGAAACCTTTATAACAACTTCTACTTAACTTTACAACCATGGTAGATAACCACACATATAACAACAAAGTATACCACCTCTGTTGTGCAATATCACCTAAGTAGTAGTACTGATCCCGCTTCCATCACATTAGTATGCATAAAAAGTGACAGGTCACATCCCCCACTAATTATGCTAATGAGCCCCTTTGATATGCTAATGAGCCCCTTTGTTCGAGGTGTTATCGCGTGTAGGTGTGATATCACAGATAGGTGTGATATCCTTTGATGTGAGGGGTGAGGTGTTGTAACATGTAGGTGTGATATTCCCCATTGTAGTAGATCCTTTGTTGTCTAATCTAATTAGCCTTTGATGTATGCCCCTTTGTTGTCTAATCTAATTACCCTTTGATGTCTATCCTTTGATGTGAGGGGTGAGGTGTTGTGACATGTAGGTGTGATATTCCCCCTTGTAGTAGATCATTTGTTGTCTAATCTAATTAGCCTTTGATGTCTGTCCTTTGATGTAAGTGGGTTGAGGTGTTGTAACATGTAGGTATGATATCACACCGACGTGTTATAAGCCTTTGATGTCAATCTAATTAGCCCTTTGATGTCAGTCCTTTGATGTAAGGTGGGTGAGGTGTTATAACATGCTGGTGTGATATCGCACCGGCGTGTTATAAGCCTTTGATGTCAATCTAATTAGCCCTTGAAGTCAATCTAATTAGCCCTTTGATGTATGTCCTTTGATCAGTGTTTGTAACTAGTATTAAGACAGTCTCTTTGAAGTTGTGTGAGACTGTCTTGCACCCCGTCCTCCTCCCACCCCGTCCCCCTCTTACCTCTTCTGTCACCCCCCTTCCTTTTGCTGTGATGTCAGAAGATAGAGGTGGGGGTGGAGTTAGGTAAAAAAGAAATCCGTGCAAACTAGATAAAAAGCCAGTCATTTCCACTCACCAAGTCACCTAAACTTTCAAAAACGAAAATGGCAAAGAGACGCATCGATATGGGTTTAATCAGCGAGACGCCTGTGACAACTTACCGCCATCCGTCGGGAGCTCCAGTCAAGAAACGGATGCATTATCTGTGCCGGGTTCAGACCCTCCGTCTGAGGTTCTTCATGAAAAATTGAGTCTGGATGTGTGAGACTGCCTCCCCTCCCTCCAAGTACCGTGGTAGGGGGACATTACGGAACTCAGGAGTCCGCCCTTTGAGGCGTTGTAAACATTAATGCTTTTTGCTTTTGTTTTTGTTACTAAAATACTTTTTAGATACACTTTTGAAGTGAGCAACACTTTACAACTGGTAGAAAGTTAAGTACTTTGTATGGAATTGGGTTTTCTTTTCGAGCTGTTTTCAGTGAGACAATGCAGTTTCTGATCATTTTAAGTTTTCAAGTTTCAAGGCTTTGTGGCATATGCCCATTAGCTACAGTGTAGATATGTCAATGAAAAAGATAGGTCACAGGCTCCTCCAACAGTGCAACAAATATATATATATATATATATATATATATATATATATATATATACATATAGAGCACATAAAACAGATAAAATACTGCAATAGAATGTTTTGATATGACAGATTTGTGCGTAATTCTCTCACAAAGGAACTGTAAGATACACGTTTATGTATGGAAAACTTTATAACTTGGTAAAATATTCATTCATTTGTAATGAATTACTTGACTAACATTACTTTTTTTAAATATATGTTTTTAGATGCTTTACTTTTGATTTCTTTCATGTTACTTTAACACAACATTACTTTTTTCATATTTTTCAACATACTGTGAGATTTGTTTTTTCTCTCCTTTTTCCATTATATTTTTGAATATACAGACACTCAACGCAATAAGTCCCACCCCAATCAGCAAATCATCCAAAACTAAGTACCCCCACTAAGACGAACATATTTTCTTTAAGACTGTGACTCTTAAAGGCACTTTGGGATTTTAGTATTTGTTTTCTTGGTAGAATATAAAGTACTTTGTAAGGAATTGGGTTTCTTAACAATCCTGCTCCACCATTAAATCACTTAATCTGCTACTTCCAGGCAAAGCTTTAAAACTTGTATCGTGTATTAAGTCATGTCTTGGCAAAAATGAGAGTCCTGGGTGCTTTAAAACATTTCTTAGAACATTTTGATATATTCAAACACATAATGAACTGCAATGACTCTGGCTCACTGCTGCATCAAATTTATTTTACACTGTTGTGAGGACAAGACTGTGAGACTCTCAGACCCTTTGTTGTCAATCTAATTAGCCTTGATCTATAAAAAAGTCACCTACTACTTTTATCTGTCCTCTCTAAATTAGATTTAGGGTTTTTAAAATTCTGAAAAGGCGAGTTGTGAGGGGGAAAAAACAGATGTATGTATGCGGTTTTGAATGGTGGCTGGTTGATGAAAACTGATCCAAAATAAGGGGTCAGGAATAATATGGCTTGAAATATGAGCAATCATGTTAATAGCTACAGATACGGTAAAGTACTACAACAACAACAACATAGGAGTGCTTATACTGTATGTTGTAAAAGCAGGACAAACAAATAAATAAAATGCTGCATTGTTTTTTAAACAAGAACCATATGCCCAAGGTATTTCTATATTTAGATGACATGTTCAGAACTCAGTACATTTGAACCAATAACTCATTTAACCATCAACATCAATTTAAGTGCACACAGCAGTGCAAACAAACAAAAAACAGGCTTGTGTGCATCAGACAACTCAAATTACTCCACTTTAACCATATTTAGAATGTCCTCATTTTAACTAAAGTAATTTAACCTAAGTGGAGCCAACCTAAGGAGTGGGCACAACAGTCAGGGACTAGCTTACTTTTTAACATTCTACTCAAAGGGCCCGTAAATATTATCTCCGCCAATATGCTATATTAAAATATCATTAAAATTAATTAATTAGCATACAAAGGGGGGGGGGGGGGGGGTCACTAGCATCAGTAGGGGAAAGGTGCTACGAAAATGAACTTTAAGGAGGGGGAACTTGTAAGAATTTCCAAGGTGAGAGGGGGTCTTTGATAAAAAATATGAACAGAGTTATACCGACAAATTATTTACGGCGTCCGAACGCATACCTCGTCAACCATCTGTTTACAAACTCAAAGATTATGATGGAGAAGAGATCAAGGGGACTTTTTATGAGAAAGAGTTACAAAAAGTGAAGGGAGTACTTTTTTCTGAACAGATTTTCTTTAAGACTGTGACTCTTAAAGGCATTTTCTAGTAAGACAATCCAGTTTTCTGGAAATAACTTAAATGATTTTTGTTTTTTCTCCTACAAAGATACTTATAGTTACACTTTAATGGATGCAAAACTTTATAACTTGGTAAAATATTCATTAATCTGTAATGAAATGAGTTTCTTAAAGAATCAAACTCTAAATGGAGAGTTTGTGATTTTAACACTGTTTCGATGAAACAATGCGGTTTTGATAACTTGACTTGACTAACATAACTTTTTTTTAAATATATGTTTTTAGATGCTTTACTTTGATTTCTTTCATGTTATTTTAACACAACATTACTTTTTTCATATTTTTTCAACATACTGTGATATTTGTTTTTTCTCTCCTTTTTCCATTATATTTTTTGAAAAACTACACAGTGATTTTTATCAAAATACAACATACAATATTACAACTTTTTGCGATATTTTCAACACAATATACTTGTACCTTTTTTTGTAGGGCTTCAGGATATTTGGCATGTCATGCATAAAACCGGTGTCATCTTTCCTGAAACTGACGTGCTGTCCGTTTTACAAACAAGTTATCTTTCTGCTTCTTCACCCTCTGAATTTTCCTCCCCCGTCCCTCTTCCTTCAGCCATCACAACAATCAAGTCAGATCTGTGAAATTAAACACCTCTTCCCAAAGCGTGACTTCCCTATTGAGGGAGTGGGGCAGTAGGGCCTAACCCGATTGGCCTAATATACTAACATGCAGAACGTATGGTATGTTTGAAAAAAAAAAGACTAACCATCTATCCAGTTCAAGCTGTCTTTTAGATGTGACATCGTGCTCCGACTTTTTCCGTAAAATCGTGACAAACTATTACTTATTCTTAAATTTGACCTCTTGCTGCTTGGTTGAAAATGATAGATGAAAAAGCTACAACGCTTAAAGAACTTTCTAAAAACTCTCAATTCTACAGATGAATCCCCCCACTCAACGCAATAAGTCCACCCCCCACTCAGCAAATCATCTAAAACGAAGGACCCCACTAAGACGACCGTTGAAAACTAGCCACGGATCTGAGAAAAACCAAGTCTCCCCCCGCGAGTTGCAGCCAGGAACAAACTCCTGGACTACTATCATCACCACCATTGTGGACACCCAAATCTTGCTGTACTACTGCTGCTGATGTTACTCCTGGGGCCAAGACGTCTCTGTTTTTGAACATATTGAAATCGGAGTTGGTTGATATTCTGGAGAGGGTGCTGCATCGGTACAGAGAAGAAATCTGCAATGGATGCCGAGTCAGTCACCCCGGCCAGAGGCAACACGATTGTCTGAATGACATTCCAGAATATTTCTTCAGAAACAATTACAACGCGTTAATGAAAAGACTTTGGCTCGCCGACTTCATTACAGTGATTGACCAGAGTCTTAATGATGAAAAACCTTTACACGGCTGAATGGAGGATCCAAGGCGCTTCGGAGGCTTTTCTGTACAATCTCAAAAACTGCAGACGCCTCAAGGAGAGACTTGAAAAGATCCATGCCGAGCTGGATGGAGAGGAAGAAGACTAATAACCAGCGGTTGATTGAAGCCAGGGATGTTTTTCGATACTTTGACTTCTCTTTAAAGTAAAATAAAAAGGGGTAACTACTATGGAAAACAATCTGTATATATTTA